GTGTGGTGGAAGGCAAACCGATGAAGGTTTACAGAAAACCGTAGTACTGAAGTTGGATGTGTTATGTGTGACCCGAATGTCGAGAAACGGAAGAGATTTGCAAGTCTCAAGTTCAAAAGTGAACTGAATAGCAGGATCAGTAGAATTCATTGTTGAAAGAACTTTATTTAAATCCTCTTTATTACCTTCAAACAGGGTAAAAGTATTGTCTACGTAGCGCAACCATGCCAGGAAGTTTCAAACAATTTTGATTCATAACATTAATAGAAATTACGTTTTAGTTCTGGTTTCAACAGATGGCGCCACTTGCTTATTCTTGTCCTGGCTTTCTTATCTTATCTAATCATTATTTCCTATCTTGTTCATTTGCGGTTTTGCAGCTGAGGATGGTGGTTCCGTAAAACCATCGAAACTAGTCCTGTGAAAATTTTCAAAATATAACGCTGATTTTTGTTGTTTGACTTGCTGAAATTAGTATTGTTCAGCGTGGTTTGGTGTGCTTAATTGTGGATCTTAATTATAGACTTACTTGTTCTTCCTTTTTTCCACGTGATGGCTTTGCTTTTTTGTAATTGTATGCGTTTTGGAGACCCAAACAAGCTTATTTTTTGCTTTCTTTTTTCCACGTGGTTTTCGTCGTGTTGCGTTTGTATGTATTCGGATATTTCGGAGCCGAAAACGGCTTCTTATTCTTTGCTTCCTTTTTTGCACATGGTGTGGCCGCCATTTTGTGATTGAATGGGTTTCGGTAAGTACTTTTTGAAATTTTTTGAAGTTCTGTTTATGTTTTGCATATTTGGATTTTTCTTATATGCTTGTGCTTGTCTGATTTCCGATGCATTTTTTAGTTACAAACGTTTTGTTTTGCTATTCGTTTTCAGTGAGGGATTTTTTTCTGCTGTTTTGTGTGTACTTTATTCTTGCTTAGTTAATTTAGTTTGATTTTCTGCATTGTTTATCGTGCCTTCATTCGTTAAACGTTTCACTAAATTATACCTGAAACGGCAAAAATTCCTGAATCATCTTGACTTTTTACTTAAATGTAAATGTAAAAAATTTATCCCTAATTTTATTCAAATCAAATCTAATCAAAAACCTTCCAGTCGCGTTTCAAGAATTCTGTTAAATTGCAAGCTTGCCTTACTTCGGTCCATCATAAGGAATACACGTCAACAGTTGTCCAAAATTGAACATGAACTCTATAAGCTTCATCTGGAACTCGCTCATTTATATCCAAAATCCACTGCCCTTGAACAAAAGTCTTGGTCTAGAACGAAGAATTCAGTTAACTGTCATAAAAACACCCTTTTAGTTAAATTCGAAAAACTTATTTTACAGTCTTCCAGTTCAAGTAGTTCAAAAAATCTTCCCATTGTAAACATCAAGCCAATAGTTAATATTTCTAGCTAATGTTAGTCTTTCAGAAGAACAAGAGAGAATTCTAAAATATAATTTGAACTTCTCACAAACCTGTGAACCCTCGATTCCAAAGATTTTGGCTTCCTATCAAAAAAGCTTTAAACTTCAGTAAAGTTCAGAGTCACAGAAAGAAATGATTAGGCATCTTATCGCTCATAATGTGAAATTCAATAATAAACCTTTGAAACCAAATCTAACTGCGAGAAAAAGAGCTATAATGCGCAAAATTCATTCTAACCCAGATATTATCATTTCAAAGGCCGACAAAGGTGGCCAGATAGTCCTCGTGGAGAACACTTACATCGATGGTGTCACTAAACTGTTAAACGAAGGACCGTATAATCCGATCCAAAAGATCCTTCAACTTCGGACTTATCAAAAATAAAAACTGCGATCAAATTTTCACAATTCATTTCAAGCAACTTAAAACATTCGCTTATCCCATCTGTTGCGAATTGTGCCAGATTATATGCTCTTCCCAAAATTCATAAAAGTGGTATTCCTTTCCTCCCTATTGTATCAAATTTAGGTACTGCCTCCTATCCATTAGCTAAATATTTAGTTTCTAGATTTTCAACTCTATTAGACAATAACATTTACACCATAAAAAATTCAATAGAGTTTGTAAGAAAGGTTAAAAACATTTCTCCTAGAAATTTACTCATGGTTTCTTTTGATGTAAAATCATTATTCACCAATGTTCCAGTGGAGGGTGCATTAAGATGTCTAGAAACCAGACTTCGTAAATTTCATTTCTCTTGCATCGAAATTGATGAGGTAATTTTTCTCACTCTGTTTGAAACAAACACATTTTGTTTTCCAAAATAAATATTACAAGCAAACTGAGGGATTAGCCATGGCAAGCCCCCTCAGTCCCATCCTGGCTGATATCTACATGCATTATTATGAATCAAAATTGTTTGAAACCTCCCGGCACAGTTCCGTAGTAGTAGACGATATTTTTACCCTGTTTGAAGGTAATAAAGAGGATTTAAATAAAATTCTTTCAACAATGAATTCTATTGATCCTGCTCTTCAGTTCACTTTTGAACTTGAGACTTGCAATTCTCTTCCGTTTCTTGACATTCTGGTAACACATCCAACTTCAGTACCACGGTTTTCCGTAAACCTTCATCGGTTTGCCTTCCACCACACTTTAAAATATGCCATCCGACTAAACAAAAGTTAGCTTCATTTTATTCCTATGTTTTCCGTGCTCTTTAAGTTTGCTCCTAAAACTATCCCTTGATGAAGAACTAAATTATTTAAAGGCAATAGCTATTGACAGAGGGGGTTTTCACCCAACATTATTAATCAAGCAGTTAAAAAATTCTCATGTCAACACATTAAAAGGCACACTCTTGTTTTAGGAGATTATAAAAATTATGTTATCATTCCCTTCTTTCCATCAATTAGCTATAAATTTGCACATATTTTGCAGAAATTTAACTTTTGGGTTGTTTATTCTCCCATCAATAAAATTCCGAGTTCCATACTCAAGGACCCCATTCCGGATATGAATTCCTGGGGTATTTATTGGATTCCTTGCCAGTGTGGTTTATTTTACATTGGCAAAACTAAGGGAGCCTTAAAATTTCACGTCAAGGAACATGATTCATATGTTAGAAAAAAGGTGGTGCATTTAATTATGGCAAAGCAGACTAGGGCTAATATGCCTAAGGAGAGGGATGCCTTCGTGGAGGAATTTCTAAGGGAAACTGGCTCGTATACACGTTACACATGGGAAAACCACGAAAACACTCATGCAGCCAGCCCGTTCGTGGGATTCGAACATCTGATCGAACTACCAGTGTTCAGCGACTTTACCTCTCGGCCGCTGGTAGGCCTCTAGAAAAAAGGAAGCACTTCTGTTGCTCACAATTGTTGGTCCGAAAATCACACTTTCAATTTTCTGCTGCCAAAATTATTCAAAAAACATCTTCCATTAGAGAACTGGATTTTCTAGAGGCATTTCACATTCAAAAAAATCTTTCTGTTCTAGTTAACGATCCTAATTCCAATTCATCTTTGACTTCGGCCTTTAAAGAAATTATGTTTTAGTTCTGGTTTCAACAGATGGCGCCACTTGCTTATTGTCCAGGCTTTCGTATCTTATCTAATCATTATTTCCTATCTTGTTCATTTGCGGTTTTGCAGCTGAGAATGGTGGTTCGGTAAAACCATCGAAACTAGTCCTGTGAAAATTTTGAAAATATAACGTTGATTTTTGTTGTTTGACTTCTGAATTAGTATTTGCTCAGCATGTTATTGTGTCTTAAGCATTTATATATGCCTATGGTTATTAAATATGTCTCGGAAGCATTGTTTAAATGAGCATTAACAGTTATGATCATCAGTGATGACCAACACTTAATTGTTCCATAGAATATCATGTTATGGGTGTGGAGGTGATTTTTTTTTTTTTTTTTTTTTTTTTTGTTGAGTCCCAGGTTGTCAAAGTTTATTCTCCCCTACTGCATCTATTTCAATTGGTGACATGAAATTGTAATGTGACTGCTTAGTAATTAGCATTTATATTTCCAACAATCACTGGCATAGCATATAGGCTTACTACTTACCAAAAATGAACTGAAAAGTGGCCTGTGTGCTAGGTGTATGTACGTCCCCTCATTTTTTCTTCATGTGTTAAAAAGCAGTGTTTCAGGTGATTGGCTGCAAGTTCTTTTCATGAGTTAAGGTGCCCTTTTACCCAAAGGTAATATGGAACTTGGAACGTTTTATCAAATTTTTATAAAGTATCAGGTTCTGTAATGAAAGTTTTCTTATCTTGGTGGCAGTTAATGTAACTGGCATATATTTAAAACAAATGTTCTGTGTGCTAGCCAAAAGTATATAGGTAAGATCCTGTATGAAATTCTGCAATTAAAGTTTTTTATGGGGTGTGCAACCTGAGAGTTTCTGCACATGGGCAATAATTACTATGTTCATTAATTCTTTCTGGTGAAAGAATTAACCTAATAGTATTAATATTCTTCATCTACTTTGGTCAGTCAATCCCTTTGTTCAATTACATTGACTAGTGTACATGCATGTCTTGGCCAGTCAGTTCCTTTGTTCAGTTACATTGACCATTGTACATGCATGCCACAGTACAGTTCTGTCACATATATCTTAGATGTCTTAGTATATACAGTTTCAACATACCAGCTTTCCTGTTTGGAACTTCCACGAGCACAAATTTGCCTTTCCTAAACCAGCTTTTCCTATTAAAATTTTATTTATTTAAATTATTAAGATTTTTAAGTATGGTAAGACATGAGCTTCTAATTAAATCACAGTGGGAGAGGGGTTGTGGATTTAAAAATATTGTAGAATACATAAGTTTCTGCATAATATGAGAAATATATATAATACGAATAATTTGGGAATGGAATAAAAGTTATTTGCAATTAAACTAATTCTTAATGCGCTAAAAAAGTCTACAGGGTTATTTCAAATAAACCAAACTATGTGTAATGTTAATCTAACTTAAAGTTATATTGTTGTTAAAAAGATTGTGTTTTACAAATTTTGTAATATTTTTTATCTTTATATGTTATATAATTGTTTGTTTATGAATTTGCAGTTTCTGATATCTCTAATGAAGGCTCTCATGGATCTAATAGTTCAACTTTACCTAGGAATACTGCTGTTAAAAGAACGCCAATAAGGTTAGTGTAAGTAATAATTGCTTGGAAATACTTTCAATAATTAATATGCTCATTAAAACAAAGAAATAGTATACAGTTGTTTCAAAAACTGAAAATTGCATGCAGGCCAAATGCACAATCTGAAAACAACTGACAGGCCAGAATTTTTTTTAAATGAAAAATTTTATTTACAAAATAAAAAATGTTTTTATTAAATTTTGTTTGCTAAGCATTTATTAAAACATCATAAATAAAAAACTATTAATATCATAAATAAAAAAACTCAGATTTATGTCTATTTTCTGTCTAAAATTTAAAGTTTGTTACCCACATGAGATTTTCATTAGCTACGCTTTGTAATTCAAGCATGTTAATTGATTAATTGCTAAATATTAAATTCTTAGACTGACATTGCATTAAAATTTATTAAATTCTTAGACTGACATTGCTTTAAAATTATTCTAACTTGTGTAATTAATCATTAAATAACTTACTGTGTACTTATGTGTTAACTGCCAGTCGTGTAATGAATCACCAGGCAAAATGTTGTGTCACCCAAATAGGCAACCTATGGTATAACAAACATTGTAATATATCTGGCAACATACTTAATGGTTGTGCTTGCATTATGCCAGAATCAAATGCATGCCATTTGTTGCCTTTAAATTTGTGTTTCTGCTTTGAATAGTATATGGAATTCTTTTTTCTTGTAAGGAATCTTAATGAATATGTGGAATTTGCCTGCTAATGAAAAAGACAGTGTTTATAGAAATTTCGCAGCTTGAAATTAGTTTATGAACTGTTCTTGACTGATTGTGATAATAGTTTTCTCCGAATTAATGCAATTGTCTAATTTTTTGAAAGTTTAAACAGGCCATCATGTATGGAAAGTAGAGCCAAGCTGCTGTGTGACCAAGAACTCAGCGATTCTCTGATTTTTTTAAAATTAAACTTAAAACAAGTCAGTGTACAGACAGCAGTGCGAAGCTGCTCTGTGATACTGAGAATTCTGCAACGCTATTTTTTTTTTTAAAGTTTAAATAGTTCGCTGTGCGCATGGGCTGAGAAAACAGAAAGATAAGTGTTTTATCTAGGGAAGACATTATTTTGCAGTCTCGAGTGGATTGATGAATAGAAGTTCAATGAAAATATGTTTTACCTAGTAGAAGATGCCAGGAACTTTTGAAAAATTACAACAATCACTTTATGTTCGAGCTATATCTTTATTACTTGGTGCACTTCACAATGAGGGCCAATCTGCACTCCACAATTTTGATAATAACGCATTACATTTTTAACAAAAGCAGCCAAGCAAGAGATGTCATTCAGCCAGCAAGGATAGGCAGAGAAAGAGGGAGGGTAGTAGGATTGCAACGATATTTATAGTAAAATTTTTTGTTAATCTGATTGGCTAAAACTTATAGGCAATGCAAAAGTTTCAAGATGACTGATTTTGCAGTAAAAAGGAGAAACAGACACTGCAGTTCAGCTAAGCATAAAAAGCAAGTGCGTTATATTCAGGGTAAAATCTTAATTCAGACTGAGTTAGTTTTGGTTCCAAATGCATTTTGATTTTATAGTTATTATTGCTGTAAAATTGCTGTTGGCTGCTTGAGTTTTAGTTCCATTTACATCACCAGAATTATGTAAGAGTGATATGACATGGATTGCAGAGAGAGGTTACTATTTTTAGAATTGAGAAGGGAAATATACATTGCTAATTTAATATTTTACATATTCTTTATTTTTCTTACACATTTTTTCTTTATTTGAACAGCTATCTAAATTCTGATGCCATAGCTCTTACTACAACCTTGATAAAAAAACTCCCTACAATTACAAAAATTTGCGACCAGAAAAATTTTTTAGCCAAGAGCTTGCTGAATAGAAACACTTGGAAGCACCCTTTTACTTTTATTTTTCACCCAGTTCATGTCACCCCCTCTTTTTCAACAATGGTTCTAGTTTCCTAATGTGGTAACCCTACCAAGCAGAGTTCAGATATAGAATTTGGCAACTATACTGTTCTTGTGCTTTTTAGTTTAAATTTTCCCACCATTTTGAAGAGTGGCGTATGCTACGTTTTTCTAGTTCATTATTTTTGCAGGTTCTTTTTTATTTTTATAGTTTTTATCTACTCACTCCAAAGATATTTAAAACAATTTTACTTTTTAATCAGTTGCAAAAATTTTATGACTAAAAACAAGCTTTAGGTACTCGAGACAACCCTCTTGTTAAAAAAACTTTTAGGTTGGTACTAAATCACTTTTAAAATTATTTCCGTACATTTGCAGAGTTTTCGTATTTTTATTTGCATATTGCTTTCTTTTTCAGTGTATTGTTTATTTTGTTTTATACATTTTGTTCAATTGTTAATTATCAGTGCTTAAATACTTGCTCTTTAATTTTCATTTGTATGCTTTCTAAGAGTATAGGGAAAGCTCTGAATGTATTTGAGACTCGATGTGATCTTACTTTTCAAAATGATAATTTGTTAAACGGCTTAAGTCTCAATGGTCCAGAGCAGTGGTGCGCAAACTTTTTTTGACTGCGACCCTTTTTGTAGAGAGAGAATTTTTGGATAGAGTTCTCCTAGAGATAAGTGTTCACAAATACAATGTAAATTTCGCTCATTTCTTTCATTTCATCGGATAAAAACATCATCATATCTGACTCGTATTAATGTTATTTATAATTTTAAGAAAATACTTTTTGTATAACACAAAAATCAGTAAATTGTCCTTTAATGAGATGTATGTGGCTGCAAGTTTCTAATTATCTCATCGATGTTTGGATGAATGTTGCTAATTGCAATTCGCATATCATCGCCAGGGTTTAACGCGAGCGGTATTTAGTTTAAATTGAAACTAGTTTGCTAAATTCAGTTTTACATAAATATGTTGATGCAAATTGTTAACACTGATGGCATTCTTGCATAAAACGCTATATTGTTTTTCCACGGATGGCCAAAATTTTTGGCAAGGCTGAGTCTTAAATTGATTTCGAAGAGTATAATCACTAATTAGATCTATCAATTGCTCTTTCTCACTAATTTGAAGAGTTGAACTGCATATGTCAAGTCCAGTGAGTGGGCTGTTACTCATTTCTAGACTGACAGCTAATTAATCACTCTTCAGTGAAAGGTCTTAGGAATTTCCTCACTTCAATAATGATATGAGGAGGTGTGCCGTCTTCCATGAACATCACTGTATCAAGAATACGGTATTCTTTTAAGTGCAGTATCATTTTCTCCAACCGTTTTTGCAAGTAGCATTTTCCAGTAACTAAGCAGGTCTTCCAGCCAGCTGTTGCACAGCATATTTCAAAGAAAAAATGGCCCACAGTAGTAGATGCAATGAAATCGCACCAAACAGTTAAACATGGTAAGAGTGATTGGACTTGAACCTTTCTTCTATACCTTCTGTGTCTGAAACCTTTGTAAAGCTTCAGTTGGCAATTCTTGGCTGAGGTAAAACAACTTCAGTAATAATGCTTTATTCACTAGTAACAGCATTATAATTAAAACTTTATGTATTAACAAGTAGGAGAAAAAATTCAGAAATGAGCTGTTCTGCAATGTATATAGGACTATGATTTACATATTCCTTGTTACTGCATCTGTGTGGCGCTCTATATTGACAACATTTTAAAGTATTTTTTCTTTATCTAAAAAAATCCTCTTTCACGAGAATACATTTTTCCAGACTGTGTTCAGTTCTACATATTCCTTCAATTCTTATGAATTTTTAAAATGTTTACAGACTTATGGGACACCCATATATATATATGTGTGTGTGTATATATATATATTTAATATTAGAATTAATTATTATTTCCTAGCAACCATATTTCAATGTATTCTAAAATAAATAAAAATAATATGCCACTAAAGTAATTTAGATTTATGAGAAATAAATGTCAAATTAGGCTGATGAATAGAAGCCATTAAAAATGTTAATAAAGTTTACATGAACTTGTATATGACACTTTATAATATTGTACAATGAAGCAAATGTTAAAAAAAAATTACAATAGGAACAAAATTTAAAAATAAAATTATCTTTTACCTCCCAAAGGGGACTTGACTTTTCAAGGGGAAATAATTTGCCATTAGCAGATGCACAATAATTTGGGGATTATTGTGTTTTGAATACAAATGAATAAATTACTTATCCGATACATTTAAAACAAAAAAATAAAGATAATTTAAGGTTTAAATATATATTCAATTATGATTCATTTCCTCGATGCAATGTCACATTTTCATGTAGAAAAAGGGAAGAAATAAGACCAAGATAGAACCAATATAAAATAAAATCAGCAATGCAATAATGTAAGTAAAAACTTATGCACAAAAGATTTAGCATTTAATTAATGGAAAAAATTTTAAAAAAAAAAAGGAAAATATACAATTAAATACAAATTTAGGCCTTGAAAAATATTATGTTTTGAACTTACCTTCATCGTCCAAGTTAGCCATTTGTGAAATACTTACACATATACAGTGGTGGCCAAAATTGTGGACACTTTTGGAAATTTTTATGTTTTTGAACTTTGTATGCTTATAGAAAATGTTGCGTTTTGCAAAATGCAAACTTATATATATCATTTTAAAAAGAATTTATTACTGAATTCAATACAAAACACAAAATTCAATTATTTGCAATACATATTTAATATAAATAAAAAACACAGTTATGAAGTGGTTTGTAATGTCTAGCTTTCCTGGCCAATCACTGTTCTTGTTCTGAGAACCAATCAAATGTTAGTAACTGCCAGTAGAAGCTGACATCATGTTTACACTTGAAAGAATTCATTATTTTGCTTTGTTCTGTAGAAGGAGGACCTGTTTCTTATACACTGCAATTACAAGTAGGAATTTTTGTAAAAGTTTTTAATATTTAGTCAAGAAGCAATGATATCAAATAAAAGAGTAGATTGGACACCTAGAAAGAGATGTAATATTATTGTGTTACGAGAAAGTGGTCTTTCCTATGCTGAAATTGCAAGACGGGTGGTTCAGTGACTACATCTGGAGTCTGAAAGTTTTGTTTACGATATCAGGAGAAAAATTCAATAAAAAACAAAGAAGAAAAAGGTGCACCACATCTATTGATGACAGAAGAATAAAAAGACTATGTCTCCAAGATAGAAAAATGTTATCAGCGGCCATCAGAAGTGATCTGAATGATGCTGGTGTTTCTGTCAGTTCAAGAACAATCAGGAGAAGATTAACAGATGTTGGACTGAGAGGTAGAATTCCACAAAAAAATGCCTTATCTTAATTTTCAGCAACGAAAAAAAAAAAAAAAAAAAAAAAAGACTACAGTGGGCAAAGGAACACATTAATTGGACAGATGATCAGTGGTCACAAGTTATATGGAGTGATGAAACTAAGATATCGTTATTCGGTAGTGATGGGCGAAAATATGTAAAACGTAGAATAGGAGAAGAGCTAGCTACATCCTGACTGCATTCAAGCAACTGTGAAGAACCCAGTTAGTGTTATGATTTAGTCATGCATGTCAGCAGATGGTATTGGTTGCCTTCATGATGGGACACTGAATGCCAGAAAATACCTTGACACTATTCTAGAACCAAAACTTCTGCCTTCCATCAGAGATCTCTTTCCCAACAATGCTTCGTTTATTTTTCAGCAGGATTCTGCTCCTTGCCACACGTCCAAAATATCGAAAGAGTGGTTTCGTACAAAGAGCATTAAATTGTTGTCATGGCCAAGAAACAGTCCTGACCTCGATCCTATCGAAAATTGTGGGACCGTTTGAAAACTCTTGTCCGAATGAGGCGCCCATCAAATAAAAGGGAACTAATTGAGGCTATAATTGTTTCCTGGCATCATGTAATAACGAATAAAGAGCTTAAAACTCTTGTCAGCTGAATGAAATGTCGATGTGAAGCTGTAATCAAAAATAAAGGGTACCCTACTAAGTACTGATAACTCACTGCAATCATCACTATCTAATGTATATCGATAACTATTATCGTTTAACTTTTTCTGTATTTCAAATAATTGAATTTTGTGTTTTGTATTGAATTCAGTAATAAATTCTCTTTAAAATGATATGTACAAGTTTGCATTTTGTGAAACGTAACGTTTTCTATAAGCATGGAAAGCTCAAAAACATAAAAATTTCCAAAAGTGTCCACAATTTTGGCCACCACTGTATATGAATACTAAAGATTAAAACAAAAGGTTAAAATAAGTGCCATAAAAACAATGTAGTGTATCATCAATGGTGCGTATGCCATAGTTTGAGACTGGACTAGTGCATTCTTTTCACTCACCTAGCCCTTATCCCATCGCATCACTGGAACCATTTCCTATAGTTATGACTTAATGATACATGCTCTTGTCTCTCAGTAAATCTGGTGATTTCCATTCAACATTTTGATGTTTAGTTCTTGGATAATATTTGCAGATATTTATTTCTTGCCACAACTGATTTCACGAAGCGTTCCTGTAAATTCTGTACTTTTATTGTGCTTCACTTTTTCTAATGTCAGAATAGTTGTGTGTTGTTATTGTACTATCATATTTTTTTATCCCTTGAGAAAATGTGTAACAGTAATATATTTTTCTCACTCAAATTTTCACCTAAGGCTGTGCACACTGTGTCGTCTTTATCACAGAAATAATCTGCAATAATTCTGAGAATTGTATAGTCAACTTTTGTTTGTTCTGTCACTTTAATTATAAGTTCTTTATTGAGAATGAAAGCTGAATATTCGGGCCTGTCATCGTGTTCCAGATTGTACTTACTGCATGTGAATTAGATTATCCATTGTTATAACTGTATTCAAGATTATCACATATCCCTAAAAATTTTCATATTGAACCGTCTCAGTCTTCATAGATTACATAATTTCTTTACTATGATAGTTACCCAATCAAAGTGAACATAAAATTTTGTTTTATATCTAGTGAATTTAAAGCAGACTATACAGTTTGTCAGATTGTTAATTAAATGTAGTTTGGGCTACACAGCATTCTAATTAAAAGGCATTAGTGTCTTTCTCAATATAAAATGTTTTTAGTGTACTTCTCAAATTTTATGGTACGAAATGTTCTTCTACGAGTCTTCTTTTAATGTTGAATATTTTGAGTCATTTTTATTGCCATTAAATTTTGTAGATTTCACAGAAGGAAAAATAAATAATTTAAGAATAAGTAATTTATATAATAAGAAACATATTAATTTATTAGTTCTAAAAATGTTCAGTTTGTGTTTGATTGAAGCAGAATTTTTTTAATAACTACTGTATCCTCTTTTTTACAGTATCTATTTGTGCTTATATTTAATACAATAGCTGTCATTCATGTTATATTAATTTAGCATAATTTAATTACAATTGTTTTGGATGCAAAAACATTAATATTCACGTTTACCTTTCAGTGTGCCAGTTGCCAAAAAGAAATGTATAAAAAGATCCCCGACTGTGGAACAAGCAAAAAAAGTTTTACCCTCTCCCGAAGTTAGCACTTTAAGTTCTTCTGATGAAGCTTCACCTAAAAAGGAACCACAATTTTTTCCTTTGAAGTGAGTTCTTAATCAAAATTAACATTATATGAAATTCAAGCTGTTATTAAAATTTTTAGAGATATATACATTTTTAAATTAAAATTTATTGGATGCTAATAGTAGCCTTGTGGTTATTGAAAATTTATTATGTACAAGGTAACCAAAAGAGTTCTTGCCATTTTGGGCAGTCAGAAAGAAAAAGACATAAAACAAATAATAATCACCGCTAATTCTCAAAGTAATCACCATCGGCATCCAGTGCCTTTTGTGACAGTGACAACTCTCTTGTGTCACCATATGTCCCTTGTATCGCCATAAGAGGTGTTGTAATTTAAAAAAAATGTAATTGATCACTATATTGGTTAAAACTGTAATTCAACCCTCATGTTGCCTTCCAGTAATTTCGAGAAGCAGAAAGCACTGAAAATATCTCAGCGATTGGGTGAAAACTATGCAAGTCCAGAGACGGCATCTTCTGCCAGTAGTTGTTATTAGCTGTTAGCTCAGCGTGAGTTCCGAGTACTACCTCTGGTTCCCTGTTTAGCTGTGCATTACATTGCATTGACTTTAACATTCATAGTAGTTTGAAGTGTAATTACTGATTGTACTTTGTGATATTGTGAAGAGTTGTATGTCTATTTTTCTGGAAGGTTCTAAATCTCCGAAGTGTTTCTTTTTATAAAATAAATTTTATCAACCTAATAGAGGAGCTGTCTGCATTCAATCTATTATGAACCTGTATGCATTCAGCGATACTAATTGTTTATAATAAGTGTCTAAAAACTGTGTCATTTCAAAATTAATCCATTCTTGCATAACACTTATGACAGAAGTACTTGCATAAGTCAGCAGTGAGTAAGATTTTAAATTTGGGAACCAGAATTTAGTAAGGATTAAATATCAAATGAAACCATTTCATTCTGAAAAAAACTTTCGTTTTAGACATGTCACATTCGTTTTTTTGCTCCTCTAGCTAGCTAGATTGCTTCAAAAATGTAAAATTTTTTGAAGAATGGGTGCACTTTACCAGTGATGCGCCAAAAATATTTGTCAACGAAAATAAAGAAATATTAGCTATTACTGCATTCTTCTTTTATGGATCTACATGACTTTAGCATTTGAATTATTTCATATATTTATAGTTACTGAAAAAAATGGGATTTTGTTTATTATTACATAAGATAGCTGTAAAACTTTTTTTTAAATGAAATCTAGGATTATCTGTTCAGATCTGAGCAGTTTAGAAATTTTAAATCTACTTCTGTTCTCAAATATTAAATCTAAAGGCTGCCAATAGTGAGTTAAGTCAGTCTGTGTGCCAACCTTGATATCTTTTTGCCAAGTGGGACCAAAAGTAAATTTCAGTTTTGTACTTCTGTGTTCCTGCCAGAAAATCCTGTGTAAAAAATCTGTGTTCCTGCCTGCTGGTCAAATTTGTTTTTGCATACAAATTCTAATTTTAATTGTAAAAAAAAAAAAACTTTGTGTGTTTTTCTTGTATTTTTAGTGAAGATGCTTTGAGCTTTTATGTTTTTTTGCCTTGCCGGGAAGTTAGAACTGAATTAATTGAATGAGAAATATATCTCTAAGGAAATTTGTGGAAATAAATTAAATGAAATGCAGCAAGAAATATGTGTAATTTAATAGGTCGTTCAAGGAAGTTATGCAGTGTCTGTATCAGATATGTTTTTGGTGGGTGTGTAAAATGCAGCATAAGAATGTTGTTGGTTTGTAGTTAAAACTGTTTAGCATTGGCTGCTGTTAAGACAGAGTTTCGTGATTAGACTTAATAATACAATAATAAGCCTAGAATTTCAAAATCGTTCTTTGTTATTCAAAAAACACTTAATGAAATGCTTAATGAAAAGCAGCAGATTGTATTAATAAATTTAGAAAGTTACAGTGCATGATTTTTATCAATCAAATTTGGTAACATTTTTTGGGGGAGGAGGCATATGAATAGTTTGTTTTATTGTGTTTTCCCCTTTTTAAAGCCTTTCTGCTACCATAAAAGGCTATTAGTAATAAATATGAATAAAATACCTGTAGAGGATTACAAATCAGGTAAAGGTAAAGGTTCAGGTATGAAGGTACCTGTAGAGAATTACAAATCAAGTGTTATTATTAAAAGTTACCTTTGCTGTTGAAAAACTTATGCTTAAAATAATTTTAAGATATTTATTTCCTGAAATTCTTTTCAATTAAAAAATGTATCATTTCTGTGGGATGAATGCAAAGTGGTATTATCTATTACAGTCTTACATTATCAGTATCTGTTGCAAGTAGTGAATTCAGTAACTGCTGCAGAAAATGAGACTAGAAATCCAGTCGTTTACTAACAAAAAATGCACACTGTCGATAAGCCATGGCTTTGGTTGGGATAAGATATATATAGGCTTATACTGAAATAAATACAAGATATCAACTGCTGTTTTACCTATATTATGTTTTATTTTTGTTTTACTTTCTTTCTATGTATTTTAAACATGCCTTTCATTCTTAGGGGTTTAACACCTGGATTAACTATAACACCTGTAGCTGCCAGTACGCCGCGTATTGCCACACCTGTGATCAACAAAAGTGCAGTAAGTTTTCAATTCAATATATGTACATCTGTATTAACTTTAAATTTGAAGTCTATCAAATTTTTACTTTCACGTATAAAGCTGGATTTATGTTAAAATAAATTTGTAACTTATTTAATAAACTAATTTTATTTTAAAATTCTTTAATTTTATCTCAGACTGGGTAATTTTTTGCACATTCAGAAGCATTAAATGTGGTAAACAGTTGATAGGAAAATTTGAATTCTGTAATAATAAAAATATAAAACTTGCATGTAAAATGAACATCTAAGATTCAAAAGATTGAAATGTCAGTTTTCTGTGTATGAAAAAAATGATTCCTGAGGTAGCATAAAATTTAATTATTAGCTATATCAATAATAAACATTAAAATTGCCAGACATAAGATATAATCAAAACACATGTAGAATTATGGTAAGATCTGGAGTTGAGATAGGCCTTCAGAATCAGCTGATCATGGGACTTAACATGCATGTGCAAAGAATCATGGATCACATAGCTATCTAGTTATTTATTATATTTGTTGAGTGAAAAATTTAAAGTTGGCTTTAAAAGCAATAAGAATGTTAATTGGTATGAGAAAGCAACCATGAATGCAAACAAAAATAGCAGTCTTGTTTCAGATATATGTGCTGAAAAATTGTCTTAACCATATTTTACCTTAAGCCCTAATACTAAGTCCAATGCAATTTAATGCTTGGAGATGTGCCAAAATGTGTGTTATATAACAGCAGTTTTACTACAATTGACCAGTTTAAGCCCAGGTCTGTTAATAGTGACAAAATCTTTTAAAAACCAGTCATAATAAACAGTAAATTGTGGATTTCACTTCAGATCTAAAGATCTTTCTTCCCTGTACAAAATTAAAGAAAAATTGTGAAGAAAGATGTTTAGTTTTAAAACTTAACATCTTTCTTTCTGTTCTTTAAACTCTGACTGCAAAAAGCATAATGAAAGTGAAGCAGTACTGAGAGGAAGCTGATCTTGTAACCAAACGAACTAGACATCATTAAGCCAAACGCTGACATTAACTTGGAGGTAACATATGAAGTGCCCCTGATAACACATTTTGTAGTAGTTTCTTACAAATCATTCCATTTCAAAGATTCATTCATTGCATTTCTTGTAACATATTAAGAAGTTGTGTAGTATGTTTAATGGGCTAGCAATTAGTTTAATGTGCTAGCAATTAAATAAAAAAATACATTCCAATTATGTATTCTTAGTCCTAGGTAGTGAATAATGCAGATTAGAAAGTGTTATTTCACCGAAATGGTCATGGGCAATTTTTATTTTATTCAGGACATGATTTCTTAAGTGTAAAAAGTGTTTTTTTTTAAATTAAAATTTTTTAAATCGTTAAATATGAAAATCAATTTGAGGTAGAAAAATTTAGATTTTTGGTTGATATGACTTAGAACAAAGATATTTAGAAATTCTTGTAGGAAAAGTTGGAGAAACAAATTTGATTGTAATGATATCTGTTGTTGTGGCTATCAGACTTACGTGACCTAATTGGAACAAGCCCACAAATTTCATCATGGCAAGGTGTTATAAGATTGCATCTATCACTGGCAAGAGCTGTGAGCACCATACAGGTGTCAGTATGATTTTGCTAAGTTCTACCATAGTATTGAAGAAGACGATCACTAGGAGATAAGGCAAATCCCTTCTTCCTGTACCACCAACCTCTCGAGGGAATTTTCAGCTTTCTGTATATTTTGAAAGCCTTCATGCTGCACAGACACTATACATTTGCAAACATCCATGCTTCTCCTGGATTTGAATCTGGGGCCTTCAGTACGGCAATCAGCATCACTAACCACTTTCCCATCTGGGTGGCATGACGATATCTTTGTATAGTGGATTAAATTAGTTTAGAGGATGGCAGCATAAAGGAGTTTTGTTGTCTTAAAAGGTATACAGAGAAATGCAAATTAACTAAGTTATCTTTTCTGAATTTACATTCTTACGTGCAAAGACACAGGAAGCTCAGAAGTGAATTAAATGTATTTATAGCTCCATATAAAATTATTAAAGGCAGTCCCCCTCTCCTGCCCAAAATTGTGAGGTCTGTCAAAAAAAAGTGAGAGTAAGAGAGAAATAAATGAAAATTAGAGATTTTTTTTTTTTTTAAATAAATTTTTTTTAAACATTGAAATTGTTGAACACTAAAATCAGAACACTGCAGAAGGAACTTTAAAGATGATTTGAGAGCAAATAAAATACTCCTTTTATTTATATTTAGAGTCCACAAGCAGCCAAGCACTATAATCGCTGAACACTGTTTTTTCGACCTGGGTTTGATTCCAGGCTTATCAGGACTTGTATTTCTCTTGATTTGCTTTGGAAACATGAATGGTCCTGAATAGGAACAGGGAGCTTACTCAAGGAAGGTGTGAAATAGACAACACAAGCAGGAAGGGTATACGAAACCCTTTATTTTCTATCTTTTACAGGTATTTCCTAAACTTCGGAATACAGAGACCAACCACTCGTGGTCTGAACATAAGAATATAAAACTACTAACTAAAACTCTAACTACAATCTAACTTTGAATTAGTATGCAAATGCCTAGCACTAAGATTGGCCTTTATTTAATGAAAGGTACGTATGTAGTATGCCGAGTTGCTTAAACTACAATACGTTCGCAAATAACAAGAGGGCTAAACCACTGGCCTTAAAGGAAACCAGCAACAGAGTGAAAACTCGTAAAACTACAGTGGCAAGCAGTTTGCTTCCTATAACTCCTTCCTCTCTCGCTTGGCAAAAAGCCACAACTTAAGAACTTGGCGTTAGCAAGACAATTTGCATAAACAAGTTAAAGCCTTTAATACTGTCCAGAAGTAGAAAATAAGAAGTGATAGTACAGTTTTAAAATAAAATAAACGTTAGTAAAACTTAGGATCCTTACATACTCCTCGCCAGAGTTAATTAGTTTGAAACTGAGGTCTAAAACGACCTTGTTGAAAACTTTTAGCTCTAGATTCTAAATCTAACACGGGGCCAATCTTTTACAAACGTTCCTCACTAGAAACTATCTAATCTAGAAATTAAAAAGTCGTTTTTACATGATCAATTCCATGGACAATTACTTTTCATCTGTACTGCATCTATAAACAGGAGTTTTTCTTAGTTGAACCTGGTTCTTTCCAGAGATCTGGAAGGAAAACTAGTTTAATGAAATGTTAAACAATCAAATGGCAAGTAACACATATATTTTTCTTTTAGAACTATTCTTATTTCATTCATGCCATTATTTAATTATCTCCCCGTGCTCTCTGACATGTGTTGTAAAGAGAAACACCAAACACGTGCATGTCTATGTACAAGTGTTCAACACTACCACCTGCAATCAAAACACTAACATGTTAAAGTTCAATGTAACAAGACCTCAGAACACACCTTATATTCATCTCTGAACCCTGAGGTACTATTCTCAAAAGTTGCTAACTCTGAAGTGTCACGTCAGAGAGCCTAACTACATTCATTCAACCTTTAACACATATTCACACTATTTTGCTCTTTTTACAGTCATACCGAAAAGTTAAAAATTTTGGCATTACTATAACATTTTCACTTTTAACATATCACAGTATTTCTTAACTTTTAAGATAACAGTTCACATTGTACATAAGGACATATTAACATGTCGTTAATTTTACGCATTTTAAAACATACATTAGTAGTACAATGTTTGTTAACTTCTATTCTCTTTTCCAAGCAAGTGCTAATTCTTCTACATTTAAATACTACATTTCAAAAGTCTTTCAGACTAAAACTTCTTTTCTTGACAGAATCTTTTAAATAAAATTTTATACAATAATTTTACAATTTTCTTAAGGTACCTTTCTAAAAAAAATACCAATGCTTTTACAATATTCAAGTATTTACACATTCGTATTATACAGTAATTTTAGTTTTACTCGCGAGTAATTGAAAAACATAGCAACAAAATAGATAAAACTCATTTCTCGCCTTTTTGGCGATAAAGGTAGGCCTCACATGAGGAAAACTTCTTAAATTCTGCCACTTGCAGTAAGAACGAAAAATTAACTTAAAGTTTCAAAGTAACATAAAGTTTTACTTGTCTTTATGATATTCCGACATCCTTTTTGCTGCCCAGTCCTGGAAAGTGGTGAAGACTTCCGTCTGGTTTATCCTCCGTATTGTGCGGGTTCGCCCTTCGGTTCCTTCCTCTGTGAACTTTCTTTTTTTTCCAGTTCGGTCACTCTTGAGGAACCTTCTTTTTAGCATCTGCTTGTTTCTTCAAACGGTGTCGGCCATTTGATGGCAGCTGGTCTTGGCGGAATCCGGGACAACTCTCTCCCATTGTTGCCTAGATCTTGTTGCTGGCTGTTCAACCGTTTGTTGCTTTCTTGCATCTGCAGCTGATTTTCCTTCGTCAGTTTGTCATTTGCTGCGTAGACTCCTATCCGATGGGTACATCTTTCGTTTTGGAGCCGTGTTATAGTTGCTGCCATTTCTCTTGGCTCTCTTTGCATTAGTAGAGCTTTTCCCTTCTTCATTTTGGGGGTGGTCGTGCCCTCTCTTTTCTGGTCGGTGGAACGGCCTCTTTTTCTTGTTACCTTCAGTTTTCCAATGGGGAAACTTTCTTTTCAATTGCACCTGTCTACTCATGGCTTGCCCTTGTGATTGTCGTTGTGCCACCTCTGGACAGGGTTTGTACGGTCCTTAAGAGTCTTTAAAATTCCTTAAGTTTTTTGGAATCGATTTTTGGTCCTTAAAAGTCCCTAATTTCGGCCAAAATCGTCAGAAGGTCCTTAATTTTAATCATCAGAAATTTCTATCTGTTTTTACGACTGCCATTTTGAGTGTGAATTAACATTTTAGAGTAATATTTTTGGCGATTTGCTGACAAATATGGTTATCTTTTAAATGGGTTCATGGATTATAATTTGTTCCTATTTCTAATATTAAATGGTGGGATACTCGAGTTTCTGAGCAGGAAGTGAAACATGAGCATTTCAAATTATTTC